TCAGGGTACCAGTGGACTCCGTCGGTTGGTGACACCGCTGAGCTCCGTCAACATCCCAACCAGTGACGCGAACGAGCACCACAGTCGAACCGGGGCAAAAACCCAGTGTGCAGGTCATGATCGCCAACCACCGGTAGCAGGACGCCAACACCTGGTCAACAGATGATGGTGCATGAGATGTTACAGGCGCATAAGACCCTTCGTGCTGCTCCAGGTGAATCTTGTCACTCTGGCAGGGATGAGGAGGTCTGGTCGTTCACTCCCAACGACCAGAAGCTGCTGTCCTGGTTTTATGGTACTAGTGAACACACAGGCCAGACGGCGCTGCATCGGGTACGGTTGTTGTTCATCAACGAAGACCAGGTGAGCCGGGGTCAGCGTCAGTCTGCGGCGTGGCTTTCGGTCTCCAGGACGTGGAACTCTCTCAGGGTTCTGTCCCGGTCCATGAAATGAAGGAAGTCGCTGAGGACAAGGTTTCCCTGTCGGTCAGGGCCAGCACCTTGTCCGCCTGGAGCTCCCTCAGTGGTTTAGCTCCCTATCTTCCAGGATCACCCTGGACGACCCAGGGAAAACCCGCCGCCTTCGCCGCCAAAGAGTTTTCTGTCAAAGTCAGAAAAGTGATGAATAAGTTTAGAGCGTACGATTAACAACAACAGATATCAGTTGTGCCCAGTAGGTGAATGCCAATAACTGACGACCTCTGACCTTTCACAGTTTCCATTCTTCCAGTGAAATATCTAAGAATCTACCAGATCGATTGACTCCTTATTTTATAAAGACGTTCATGGTACTGATGATTGACTCCTACTGATCAGACTGATCCTCTGACTCCTCCTCTCGACCACCATGACGCTGTTTTAAATGAAATATTTCAACAGCCATTGGAGATATGAAGTTGGCACTAATCTGTAACAACATTCATGCTCCCCTCAGGATGAACTGAATAACCCTGGTGATCCTCTGACTTTTTCCTCTAGCGCACCATCAGGTGAACATTTGAATGTGTCCAGTACTGTTTGATGGCACCGTGATAGTGGGTAAAAAAGCCTGCTTGACCCTAACCCTAACCAGTCTGAATGTTTATTTATTTCTTATTTTATTAAAATATATATATAAACATATATATATACATACACTCATTTTTATTATATCTTACTAACGTTTATGTTGTTCTTATATGATTTTACTATGAGCACTTATGTTTAGAATTTATTTTATGTCTCACGTGTGTTTTTTAGTTTTTTATTTATTACTAAAACACTTATTTGAATACCTTTTTATAACCTCTTAGTTGAATATATGAATTCCATATCTATATATTATGAATTTCTATTTTAAAATCCACACACACTGCTTTTCACAGAGCAGTGTATGTGGCCTTTGGACTCATAGTAGAGACCCGTCGAAGCCCGCCTCCACAGCCAGCTGGACAACATGCGTACTTGCTCTTGTCTCGGTCTGAGGTGGTGATGTCACGGCCCGGCCCTTCGTAGTGCAAGACGCTCCTCAGAGTGATGGCCGTCCTCCGTCCAGCCCTCTGTGACGCGGAGTTTCCCCAACAGGCGAAATATTCTGAATGCAGAGCCTGTCAGGAATAAGGGTGCGTAGTGAATGTCTGGCTTCGAGTTGGAGGACTGGTTTAGGAGTATTAAGTGGAACAATCTTCTTACTACAACTATTTTTCTACAGCATTTTGTAAACGTCAGATTATCTTAACTTGACTATCACGAAGTGCTTGATGGGACAATGTAATTAACTGAACATTAACAGCTGCGCATATGACTAACTGCAGGATTCACTTAAAACTGGGTCACATGTGGGGAGAAACACAAACGCAAACGCGTTAGATTAACGTCGATTAATTTCAACCCATTTTTATTGGGCTTTTAACTGAACACCTCCACGGCTAACCAGGCTGACACAGGTTATGCAGCCCAGCGGTTAGCACGTTAGCAAAATAGCTTATCTGCTAATTTTCAGCTAACGCTAGGCACTAGCTGGCTAGCTATGATTAGCAAGGTGGCATTCTTACCGAACTGTGATAATCTACAAGGAGATTGCTAATGTTATGGCTGCAAATGAAAACACTCTTAAAACAAAAATGTACTGAACCGGAGAGAAAAATTTAACCGCGACTCCCTGCTTGAGTTGGTCTTTTAGAACAACTTGAACACCGAACAAGACATTCTCCTGGTAAACAACATGTTGGAGCTAACTTTGATCAACTGAAAAACCGACTCATCGCTCTGTTCGTCATATCCGGTTTAACAGGACGATGGTCCTGTGTGTTAATGAGCGGTAGCCACAGCCCTAAACCCACTCTGGCTTTAACGTCTATTTTCTTTTAATTAGGACCTATAATTTTTAAAAATGTAACATCAATCAAACGTTTTTACTTGAGGTATATAAATTCAAGGACAAGTAGGGTCATGTTTCCAACAGGACTTAATACAATCGGACTTCTTTTTGCACCAGTGGAGTCTCCTGCATGGAGTGGTCCAGAGAATGCGACGTTTTAAGGCATGTCCGCTTGGCTTCATTTTCCAAGGACCCCGGAGTCCAACGTCCATTTTTATTATAAGGTTCTTGAGCAGATTTACCGTCAGGGAGTGGGGAAGACAGCGAGCGTAAACCCAGCATGAGACGTAATGACGTAGGTTATTCTCTCCTTCGGAAAAAGCCTGTTTTTTCCCCCACAGGCGTTTTTAATGACTTAGCTTCGTTAGATAGACCGTTCTCCCTGGCCAATCAGAGCAAACTAGGGAGGGGCGGGCACGTGTCAAGAGTAAGACCAAATAGGGCTTTGAGAGAACAGCTAGAGCAGGAGCATGCGTGTTTTAATGGTTGCCAAAACTGTTTTTTGGCAAATAAATGCTTCATGTTTGTCTATTATTCATATTTGAAAGAGTTAAAGCAATTTCTCCCAGTTTCTCTTTTAGAGAGAGGTTTTAGGGTCGCCAGTGAAAAAATGAACTATAATAAAACTCTACTATAAACTAAAGGTATTAGTCTAGGAGCCTTTGAGGCTTTCAAGAAGTAGTTCTTCTGGAACTAAGAATGCAAAGACTGGTGGAGCTTTTTCCCCTGGTTCTTCGGTATAAAGTAGATCTCTGAATGGTTGTTATGTAATTGTGGCTTTTTTACAGGCGAGGACTGATAAAATACTAAAAAAAACAACATGTTATGAGAGCTGATGTAGTTTGGTGTGGAGTCAATTTGCAAAACATAGCACATTTTCAGGTTATTAAATATAGTTTTATTAGTTGTTAAATGTAGTTTTCGTAGTTATTTTCTGATCTAACCTCTTACCCATCATCCTCTTCATCACACCCTCATCCTTCTGCTCTTCCTCCATCAGTTACCACTCCACTTGTTCCTGTTCATCCTCCAGACTGTTGGTCTGATCCTTGGCATACAGCGCCACCATGTGGCCTTTCTTGGAACTGCCAGTCCGCCTCACGCCCCAGCACCTCAGGTAAATCACTTTGGGGAGTAGGACTGAATTGCTGGAGCTGGCCTCAAGTGGTCATTAGAGGAACTGCAGTTTGTCACTTCAGCGTTGGATTCATTTTCCAGGTGGCTCCTTGTTTAAAGTTTCTACTGCCCCCAAGTGGTGGAAAACAACAGCCACAACAAAAACAAGCAAACAGCAACAAAACAAATAAATGAATGAATAATGCAGCTTTAAATGGATCTGCTTTGGTGTGAACATGGCCGTGTTACAGCTGACCTGTCATGTGCCGCTCTCGCTCTGTTGACCTTTGAATATCATGAACACCTGGTCACACGCAGAAAAGAAAAACAAACACACAAGAATACGACAGTTTTATAGATGTTGTATTTACACTTGAACAGAGACTCAGGTTTATAGCTTCAGCTGGGAGACACACAGATCACCTCTGAGGACGGTTTAACTGATCTGGACCATGGTCCTGATCAGGTACTGGTCTGTGAAACTGTATTTATCTGTATAAACCTACACTGCTTCAGATACACTGATAATATATCAAGGTTTTATGGCCCTTGACTCAGTAATAATCTGAAGCATTTAGACAGATTGAGCTGCGGGCCGTCTGCCTGTGAGCCTCTACCCAAATGAAGCAATGATTGCCAAATGTTCCCTCAGGCCGCTTATTAACTGGAGGTCAACGGCCAGTGTATAAAAAATATAATTTATTGATGTCATTCTTTATATCCATCCATGAAAATATAATTGGCCCTGACAGTTATAACAATCACAGTCGTTCACTTCACCTGAACACATGAATCATTCCACATTTAGACTCAGACACATTTTTATACTTTAAACATAAACCATTAACAGACATTCTGTCAGTAATACAGAAAATAAATAAATGTCAACACACACACACACACATATGTATATATATATATATATATGTTGTATATGTGTCTGTATATGTATTGATCAGCCACAATATTAGACTCACTAACTGGTTTTAATGTTGTGGTTGATCAGTGAAAAATGTAAAATCAGTGTTTGACAACAGAAGTTAGAGCAACACTTTTTAACAGCTGTGACTTCCACATGTTCACGTCACCTGGACAACACCTCAGCATCCTGTGATGAACAGATACTGATAATCTGTAGATATGATCAGATCATATCTGACTCTCATCTTTGTGACGCCTTCAGTTACTTTTTCAAAATGCCGTCGGTGGAACAATCTGTATGTTGTGTTGGAGGAAGACTGGTTAGCCTAGCTTAGCACAAAGACCGGAGGCAGGTGGGGACTGCTTGCCCGTGATGAAGCAGTTGGGATGAGGGTCGGGTGTCAGGGTAGGACCTCGGGACAGATCCCCCAGGAGGAGCTGGACAACGCTGCTGGAGAAAGGGACGAACTCTGATTGACTTGCTGCCACTGAGACCTGATCCTGAATAAGCGGAAGAAGATGGACAACTGAGTATTCCCGCGTCAGTTCGTCGACATGTTGAAGGGTTGTATTCTGGTGTGAATGGACAGTCTATAAAGTTCATCTCAGCTCTGTGGGTGGAAACAACTGCTGTCCATGAGCCATCGCCCCACGTGGTAGAGGAGCTCAGGGTACCAGTGGACTCCGTCCGGTTGGTGCACACCGCTGAGCTCCGTCAACATCCCAACCAGTGACGCGAACGAGCACCACAGTCGAACCGGGGCAAAAACCCAGTGTGCAAGGTCATGATCGCCAACCACCGCGTAGCAGGACGCCAACACCTGGTCAACGATGATGGTGCCATGAGATGTTACAGGCGCATAAGACCCTTCGTGCTGCTCCAGGTGAACTCTTGTCACTCTGGCAGGGATGAGGAGGTCTGGTCGTTCACTCCCAACGACCAGAAGCTGCTGTCCTGGTTTTATGGTACTAGTGAACACAGGCCAGACGGCGCTGCCGTCGGTACGGTTGTTGTTCATCACGAAGACCAGGTGAGCCGGGGTCAGCGTCAGTCTGCGGCGTGGCTCCTCGGTCTCCAGGACGTGGAACTCTCTCACGGTCTTTCTGTCCCGGTCCATGAACATGAGGAAGTCGCTGAGGACAAGGTTTCCCTGTCGGTCAGCGGCCAGCACCTTGTCCCCCGCCTGGAGCTCCCTCAGTGGTTTAGTCCCTCCATCTTCCAGGATCACCCTGGACGACCCAGGGAAACAACCGCCCGCCTTCGCCGCCACGGAGTTTTCTGTCAAAGTCAGAACAGTGATGAATAAGTTTGAAGCGTACGATTAACAACAACAGATATCAGTTGTGCCCAGTAGGTGAATGCCAATGACTGACGACCTCTGACCTTTCACAGTTTCCATTCTCCAGTGAAATATCTAAGAATCTACCAGATCGATTGACTCCTTATTTTATAAAGACGTTCATGGTCCTAGATGATGACTCCTACTGATCAGCTGATCCTCTGACTCCTCCTCTCGAACCACCATGACGCTGTTTTAAATGAAATATCTCAACAGCCATTGGATGAATTGGCACTAATTCTGTAACAACATTCATGCTCCCCTCAGGATGAACCTGAATAACCCTGGTGATCCTCTGACTTTTCCTCTAGCGCCACCATCAGGTGAACATTTGAATGTGTCCGATACTGTTTGATGGCACCGTGATAGCTGGGTAAAAAGCCTGCTTGACCCTAACCCTAACCAGTCTTGAATGTTTTATTATATTCTTATTTATTTAAATATATATATAAACATATATATATACATACACTCATTTTATTATATCTTACTAACGTTTATGTTGTTCTTATGATTTTTACTATGAGCACTTATGTTTAGAATTATTTTTATGTCTCACGTGTGTTTTTTAGTTTTTATTTATTACTAAAACACTTTTGAATACCTTTTATAACCTCTTAGTTGAATATATGAATGTCCATATCTATATATTATGAATTCTATTTTAAAATCCACACACCTGCTTTCACAGAGCAGTGTATGTGGCCTTTGGACTCATAGTAGACCCAGTCGAAGCCCGCCTCCACAGCCAGCCTGGACAACATGCCGTACTTGCTCTTGTCTCGGTCTGAGGTGGTGATGTCCACGGCCCGGCCCTCGTAGTGCAGAGACTCCTCAGAGTGATGGCCGTCCTCGTCCCAGCCCTCTGTGACCCGGAGTTTCACCCCGGGCCACAGATTCATGACTGAAATGGCCAAAGAGTTGAGTTTGTCTTTACACCTCTGAGAACGAGAGAGGACGTGTTCAGAATCACAGTAAACACTTTGGTCTTTCAGCGTTGCCATAGTGACATTAGCAACACAGTTCAATACAGTCTATAACATAACATACTGTATGAGCCAAGTTGTGATGAACTGGAATCATCCTTTAACACCCACCACATTATTATTATTATTATTGTTATTACTATTATTATTATTATTATTATTATTATTATTATTATTATTATTATTATTATTATATATTATTAGGGACCCACGCTGATTTGTCTTCTCTGACTCTGTTTTAGCTCATTGGTTTGGTTTTACTCAGTTTACTGTTTTGTTTGACTCCCAACTGTACAACAAAAACATCAATAATAATAATAATAATAATAATAATAATAATTCTATCACAGAATCAGAATCAATCTAGCACAAACTGCAGCAAGGATAAAATAACAAAACAAGCAACAAACATCTATCCATCTATCTATCTATCTATCTATACACAGTCAGATAGATAGATCCACTGTCTAACTGCTTTGGACTCTAATGAACCAGCATGTAACTAACTAACTAACTAACTAACTAACTAACTAACTAACTAACTAACTAATTAACTAGCCTAACAAGGATTAGTGACTCGTGGAGCTGAAGATGTAAAGAACACCTGCATCATCTGCTCCACATCACTGCACCAAGACAAAGTCCAGAAACTGTCACCGACCTGTGTCATCAGCCGGTCCGCGTTGGTGTTCTCCTCGTCCTTGAAGATGATGTCGGGGTTGTAGTTGGGAGTCAGGTCCTTGAACCGCTCCGAGCTGCGGGTGATCTTGCCCTCGTACTTGCCGCTGGCTCCCAGGGTTTTCTCTGCCACGTTGGGGATGAACTGTTTCAGGGCCAGCGGTGTCAGCTTGGGGTGCCTCCGCTTCCCGTATCCCCTGCCCGGTCCGCAGCCCGAGGTGACGGACGGCAGCAGCAGCAGCAGGCAGAGGGACACCGGCAGCATCTCTCTCATCAGGACCATCTTCTGCGGTGACGCGCCTCGGACTGATCTTACTCTTTATTCCGGTTCTTTCCTTTTCTTTAAATGTCTTTGTCCACTACAGCTGGAGCAGTGCGGGTACCATACCTACTCTCTCTCTCTCTCTCTCTCTCTCTCTCTCTCTCTCCCTCTCTCTCTCCCTCTGAGCACTGATGACAGTGACAGAGGAGGGTTGGACGTCCCGGGTAATATACAATATACATATCCCAAAACCACACACAAAAAGTTACAAGTATTTATATTCTTCACATTTTACTCATTCAGTCCATTAAATTTTAAGTTATTGTTATTGATCCTGACTCACAACAATAAGACTGAGGTCCCAGGTAGCAAAAATGATTTGGCCCAGATCCACCTGGAGCCACCCTAATATCTGGGCCAAATCCGCACAACGGACATGAGCCAGTATCCTTTGGCACAACGGGCCAATACTGGTGTGGATCCGTTTTCTGAGTCTGGGTCAGAACCGGGCCGGCTCTGGGCAAGATGAATGATGAGTTTTTATGGTGATCCGGCCCAGATCCGTACTGGATCCGGCCCACATTTGGGCCAGATCTGGACAAGTGTGGACCATATCCAAGGATCTCTTACCTTCAGAGTTTCTGAATTAATTGTGTCAAGTAATGTTTGTTAGTTTCTAGCTTTAGTCTTAAGTTACAGTTAAGCTAATGTTAGCTACTCTCTAACTTGAGGCTGAAGTTACAGCTGATAGTGACAGCTGATAGTGTGCCCCTTCATTTCCAATGCTTGCTTGTCATTTAATTACCAATACTATGTTGTTAGTTTAGTCTACAATAGTAAAAAACCAAACATAATGATGATAACTTAACATTTATGCCTGATGGCACTTTTCATGCAAAGGTGCAGCCCAGAGCGCTGTAACTGCCTGTAAATACCCCCGACTACTGCAGTCATGTGACACATAAGGAACACATAATAAATATGGTGTAACTTGTATGTTTCTGTGTTGGAGTCGACGTGGTGAACGTGCTGTAGTTTCTTCTCTGTGTGTAGACTGACACGACGCTGTACAGGTGTTTTCATATTGTGATTTTGACATTCAGGAAACGGTAAGTCGCCGTGTGTTTCTCTGTCTGTATTAAACTTCATCAATCACCAATGAATACGAGGCTGCAGGCATGAACTGTTCAAATGTTGGAACTAGAATTAGCTTTTTGTTCCTGATCCTCAAACTATGTTAAGAGTCTTAAGTGAGGAATCAGCCTGTTAGTGGTTTCAGTAGAAACAGTCGCCCCCTCCCACCCTCTGCTCATACATACAAACACATGGGACCAAGGCCGCTGAGAGACCTGCGCACCAACTACAGCAGCTGTGGTGACCAGTGTGAAACCTCATGTGCTCCTTTACCAGTATGATGTGATTCACTGTGGGTCGCGGCGTGTCTGTCGGTGTTGACCTGTGTTCACTTGCAGAGCGGTTTTTTTTCCTCAGGTGAAGTAAATGACTTTGACAGCTGCAGCTTATCAGCCGCCTGATGAACGAGCTGCCGTCCGGTGGAACCAGCGTGTGACGGGAGGAAGTTACTGGTTTTGGTGCTTCTGTGTTTGAGCTTCACGTCAAATAAATCGTAAAGACAAACAGGAAGTGACACAGTGAGACACCAGCTGATCTCGCACACGTTCATTTCATGTGAGATTTACATCAATCAGTCATAAATAAAAAGTATTAGCATGTGTTTCCCTCACACATCCCCCACTGAAGTGAATCCATTAGGGCCCATTTTATTCTATAGAAACAAAACCTGTTCATTGTAATAAAACATTATAATGTTCATACAGATTAGATTTATTTTTTCAGTACAATCTGTGGTACACTCACTTCCTGCCCTCGTGTGTTTCCCGCCACTGTGATTATCTGCCCCGTCTCCGATTTGTTGCCCCCGTGTCTAATTGTCTATCGTCTTTACCTAAATGTCCTTTCACTAAATCCCTCTTTCTCTATTTGTATGTTCGTTTCATGTCATCTTATCTTAACATTTCAATCCTGTTTACTTTGTTTTTGTGGTGAGGAAAGGAGGATTTATCCTCCAGGGGTTATAAATGAAGTTAATTAAAAACAAAGGCCGTACTACTTTCTCTCAGTCTTCACTTTTCCCTTTTCATGTGTAGAGCGGAGTGCAACCTGAACAAATGTATTTGAGCTGCGACTGTGGATCGAGTGTTTCTGTGGTCTGCACTGAAAGGTCAGACAGGTCAGGATTACAGAGACGCCCTCCAGCCGGTGATTTTCAGACATTCAGAAATACTTGAGTCTTTTACCTTTTACCTTTCGTTTCATGTTTCAGAGGAGAGAACCGTCAGAGTGAAGAGCTGGTTCCTCAGACGAAGGCAGACGGATCATTATGAAATGTTCTGTATAAAGAAAGAGAACTGGTCTTTACCTGAGACAGACGACACAAGCACAACAACTTCACCTCAAATACCCTGAACACAACATCCTAATTAAGACTGATCAATAAATGAGATAGACAAAGTGTGTGTGTGTGTGTGTGTGTGTGTGTGTGTGTGTGTGTGTGTGTGTGTGTGTGTGGAGGGACAATTTGCTAGATTGAATATTTGTCTTGTAAGAGTGTGATTTAAAGAGTCTTGGCTTTGAGAGCAGCCTCAGTCCTCAGAGTCTGAGTGTGTGTGGTCACTGAGTGGACGCTGACCTCACTTCACGCACCAACACGACACACAACATCTATCTCCGTCCATCAGCCTTCGTTTTCCTTCTCTCCTTTCACGGCCCAGCTTCTCTTCACCTCCTCTGCCCTCACCTCTCTTTAAAAAGACGAGTGGGTGTTTTTCTTGTTTCTCCTCACCTCGTCCTCGTCCTCGTCCTCTTCTCTCATCTCACTTCACTCTTTTCACCTTTGTGTCTCCTCTCAGGCGTTGCCATGGCAACAGACAGTTTGATCTGACCACTAATGTGGTGATGGATGAAAATAGACCCTGATATAAAAAAGAAAAAGAGAAAAAAAAAGTGCTTTTTCTATTTCAACCTTCTCTGTGTCTCCTCTCTCTCTCCTTCACACACACACACACACACACACACACACACACACACACACACACACACACGTACAAACACACACACACACACACACACACACACACACACACACACACACACACACAAACCTCACATGACATCACCCACAGGTTTCTGAAGAGTGGTTTTGAAGCTCAGAGTGAGCTGCTCCACCGTCGCCATCTTGGCAGTGTCTGACTCCGCCCCCTAACTCCCAACTAATCCAAAAATGGTCAAAGAGGAGGAGCCTGTGTGGAGCTGAGACTTCAGTTCATGACGGTTTGTGGCGAGTATACGCGCACCCACCTGTCACTCGAAGAGGCCACGCCCCCTCAATCCTCCATAACTTTAGTCCTTAATAAATGTAAACAGGTGAGTTATATAAACAGGTGAGTTATATAAACAGGTGTCATGAAGGAGGAAATTAGCTCTAGAGACCATAAGTGTTTTTGTACCAGGCTGTAAACATGTTTATTTCTGCTGTAAAGTTGGACATTTTAACATGGGAGTCTATGGGGACTGACTCACTGTTGGAGCCAGACTCTAGTGGTCGTTAGAGGAACTGCAGCTTCTGGTTCTTCAGTGTTGGCGCTCAAAGGTTGATGTAGACTGTAGGTAAATGTTGTAGCAGTTTCTAGCTTGTTAAATACACTTCACTTTACAGTCACAGTTACAGTTTAGTTAACTAATCTTAGCTACATGTAACTTTAGCCTGAAGTTACAGTTTAGCGAACTGTTAGCTAGTTTTTAACTTTTTTAAGTTAAAGTTTAGCTAAGTAATGTTAGCTAGCTGATATAGCTGATACCATGCCTTTTCATTTCTAGTCTTAGCTTGTCACTTCATTACCAACATAAAGTGTCATATGATCTAAAGTTACAAACACTGGTTCTCAGTCATGAGCAATGAGACGATGGAGGATTAGTTGTTTTTGTTAGAGATACGTTTTGACATCAATAAAGACTTTATTATTTCATTTGGTGTGGTGGTTTGATTTAAGTTAAACAACAAAAGAGGTGTGTGTTTCAAAATAAAACAGGAAACAACAGGATTTTACAGTGATTTGAGGGAAATCTGGTTTAGTGTTAATTCAGTTACAACAGAAGTAAAAACATTCATCAGTTGTAAAGACAGGTCAGGAGGTTCAGTCTTTGTGCTAAGCTAGGCTAAACATGCTCTGAATTACCTGTGTACTGGTCACACAGACATGAAACTAATATCAGTCTTCTCAGCTGATGGTGAGACATGTGTCCTCCTGTCCCTTTAAGACATGTTGGACTCCTCCGGTCCAGCAGCCTCTGTGTCCCTGTAACTTAAACCTGCAGGGATTAGACTGAGCCGCTGTTCACCCGGAGAAAAACAACAAGGAAACTGCTTAACATTTCTGACCTGTTAATGAGGGTTAGTGTGGAACTTCTCTGTCTCACACACACTCAGTTTTCAGACGAACTGTTTGAGATCCTGGTTTCAGGAGACGTCCAAGACCAGTTCAGCCGACCTCAGATACACTGCCGACAGGATGTGTCTGTGCCGTGGACGTTTCTTTAAAGTGGAAACAGTGGAAGGTTCATACTCCAGACACTGTGACATCACAGCTCACCTGTCCGTGTCTCTCTGACATCACAGCTCACCTGTCTGTGTGTCTGATGCTGATGTTGATGTGAGGTGACGAGGTTCAAGCTGTTTGTGCTGCCCTGATCCTCTGAGAGGTGGCTGGAGGAAAGATTAGGAAATAAAAAGAAATCTCATTAGTGGCCAGATTTGACTCTAATTCCCGGACACATTTCCCATAAAATCCTCTTTTGTCGGTCTAGTGTTGGAGCCCGGTCTTCCCACTGGACGAGGGACTGTCCAGGACCCGAAAGTCCTCTAATAGGAAACAGGGGTCAGTATTTGACCCGAGCTTATGAACAGTCATCCAACAGTTAATCTCTTTGGTCACATTAGTGCT